CCTGGAGGTCTCATCATCATTCGCTAAAGCTAGAGTAGTCTTCACACATATGTAGACAGGCTTGTAATCACTGAATAATGCTTTAGATTACGTACTCGCCAGTCTCTAATCTTCAGTTTCAGTCTTCGACATTTGCTGAAGGTTCTTTGGGGTTAGTGTTGTCTTCTTGAAGTATTGTTGTCTCTGATGAATTTACAATGCAAGTTCTTCAGCGATCACTGAACATACTTATCGATGATCGCTGGAACTGAAAATACAGAAACACAAATACAACGTGAATGGGAAAAGGAATTATCATCAAATTACTGAGAGAGAGGATCAACAATTATCCTCTTGGAAATTTTCTTTTAAAAAATTAAACTTTTAATCCCAATCGTCACCCCTAAAATAGCCACAGCTTGTACATTCGCCTCTTCCCCATAAAACCTCTCCATATTACATCCTCCATCAACCCCCAACTGCCACGGGCCCCCTTTTTCTAACAGCGATCATGATCGTGAGCTGTAAATACGGCTCACGATCACCCTTTCACTTTTTCACCACCTGTCAGACGCCAGCATCATTAACCCATCTCTTTATTTTATTCATGTTTTCAAACACTCCCCCCACCTTCCCCCCACTATATAATTGTCAACCCACCACCATTGTTAACGTTTACGCCAACAAACAAACAGCCTAAAAACAAACCTACAACTTCCTTTTATCATCAATGGCATCATCCTCCTCAGCTTCACATGACTCAAACCAAAATGAGAGCCAAGTTCAGTCGACCGATGCTGACAGTCGTGCACTTATCTTCCTCCCAATCAAACGCAACCACCATCATATCGACCTCCAACCCAGCTGTTTGAAGACAGGTTTACCATTCTAGTTGAGTTTTTCTAGAACTGTGTGCTACAGCCTTCATTGACACTATCTAACAACGAAGTCCCTATCAGGTATGTCCAACAGTATTGGAACACGTGAGATTTCTACCTTGAGAACCTTGGAATTATGGGCGACATTGATGCCTCGAATGACATGGTTTGCACCATTAAAATATCCCGCACCAAGATTTCAAAGTTTTGTTTATTCCCACAAGACAAGAGCTCGGGCTTGCCCATTACCAAGAACCACCCACCAGCCATGATATACTCTAGTTCATACGCATGTTGGGCTATAACCCGGACCTTCAGAATGCCTCGGAATTCAAGCGCCAATATCTTCCACCTATGTGGAATGTGTTCTTCAGCGTTCTCAACCGGACCAGCTACCCTGGAGCATATTGATCCTACCCCCAAAACACGCGAGGGATCCCAAGGCGAGAGGACTCAATCCAATGTTGAACTGATGATGATGATGATGATGATAGTCCTCCCGCCACCCCCGGACCAGTTCCTAGAGTTGCTGCCTCCCCACACCCAACTCCCTGGGCCACTACATCCACTATCTCTTGCAACCAAGGCCCAAGAGATATTAAAGATGTACTGCCCAGTCTGAACCTTACCCATACCAGCCATCCAGAGGAACCCCATTTGCCATCACCTCATTCTCAATAAGAAGGTAATGAAGAAATAAGGGTCCCTTCTCCTTAGGGGTGGGCACTCTCCACTCACTCATAAGCATTAGTTGCTTCAACCTTTGAATTTCCCTTAGAACGTTTAGAGTGATCTCCCTTTCACACACGCACTCCCATGATGCTTGGTCTATCAACGGGGAAACATATGTACTTCTCTGGACTCTGAATTTTAAGTGGATGAAGCTCCTATCGAAACATTCCGATATAGCTCTTCTTTATAGGGCTATCAAGAATGGGGTGAAAGTTCTCGCTTGCCCAACATTGATACAGGCATTGTTGGAGGATCCTCCAAAACAGAGGCTCAATCTATGGCATTTGTTGCCGTAGGGGTTACCCCCATTGCAAAGTTAGTCACAAAGGCCGAGTTCCAAGCCTTTGCTGACTCGATTCAGCGGTCCTTGGAATTAAAATCACAATCGAGAGGGTTGCTAAAACCACCCCCACCCAAGATACAACCCAACTTCAGCAATCTATTGCCTCCCTTGAAGCTCAATCAAGGGACAACACCACCTATCTCCAATCCCTCCAATGTTTGGTATCCCAACACCACAACTTCCATAACAACCATATGGTCACCAAACTTGATGCATCCATCATCTCTCTATCCGCCCAAATCATAGCCAGCGATGCATCCAGAGCCACCATCACCTCACAAATATCCTCCATCAATACATCCATCGCTTATCTCCCTACCATCATCCAAAATACTATCTCACCACCCAATGCCCCCTCTTCTTCTGTAGTATCCACACCCAATGAAGACTTTAACTCCTTTGCTACAGAGTTAATGGACTTAATTGCATCCATTTCCATCCCTGCCACCTCCACCACCACTCTCCTAACCCAAGACTTGATTAGCCGAGCCGATCTTTGTTCCCTCTCTAAGGCACTGATCTCGAAGTTCATTGAGATTAATTCCAAGTTCATGATGAAAGCTTCCGAACTAGCCGCCACCCTTTAGAAACGACTCGCTAAAAAACAAGAGCGAACCAACACTCTTCTTCGACGACTAGAAGATGATAGATGGCGGATGGCTCTAAAAATGTATGTCGCCTCACTTCGAAAGAAAAAGAAGAATGTTACCTCTTGCTTTATGGGGAGACCGTCCAAGCACCCGAGGCATGACGACCAAGAACCCGATGTTCACGGTCTAGGTCCTCATGAGGGGGAGACACCATCCAGCTCTCCTATGAACACTGCATTAGCTCCACCTCCACCAACACAAGCTCCATCTCCTCAACCAACAGCTGGACCAGAAGCAATGGAACTAGAGGCCCAACCCTCAAATGATGTAGATAATGTAAATATACTTAATCTTCCAACTATTATTTTTGCTGCATCTACCTCAAATCTAGCTGCAGGCATTGTAACCCCAATGACAAAGGTTGTACCCATAGTTGAAGTACCACTTATCTCATCTGATCCTTCATCAACCAACGCATCACCACCAACCGATGAATCCTCACCAATATTAGTGAGCTCTTCATTACCTCCCAAAATACAACCCTCAACCACACCAACACCCACACAACCAGCCCCTCAAATTTCATTCACCCCATCACCTTCATGACCTCCATCACCAATACAACCAACAACCACCCAAACAGAACCTGTCATCACTCAACCAGAAACCACTCGTACAGAACCTACCCAACCAGAACCATCTCTTACCCAACCAGAACCACCTCTTACCTAACCTGAACCATCACTTACCCAACCTATAAAGCCAACAATGCCTGCAGATGTTCCCTCTTCCTCAAGGCAACCTCCATCTATCGATAGAGTACAAAAAGTCATCGCTCAGATGGAAACACTAAGAAGACATCTGGAGATGCCACCCACAGAACCCATCATGATAGAGAACATCCATCAATACATCTACCATGATCATGATGAGCACATTGTCTTAAATCCTCCAAACCTATCCACGGAGTCCATAGACTTAATCAAACACATATTCGTAAGGTAACTCACCCAACCACCACTTGTTGTCTTCTCGAATGAAGGGATAAAAATGGTATATAATATCAAGCTTCAGACCTTTGCCAAAAAAGCCATCAAATACATTGAGTATACCGAGGAACGTGCTCATGGAATGATTTGTGTCTTTAATGACAATGATCTAATAAATCTCAATCCATGGGACTTGATCCACTTGTATGGTCATACGACTCAACATCAGAACCATGGAATAAGATACGGGATGGCATAGAGAGTGATCGTAGAGACGATGGGAACTTTGATGAATACAGAGCATAGAACGATTTTCATATCGCATTGGAACTTGGCATTTTAAGACTTTCTTTCCTGGCTCCAAAAAAAGACTTTCCTAGACTTCAAAAGAAGTGCTCTGCCTCTGTTTTGACTCAACCGAAACTGGGCTTAGTCTTCAAGAATGAGTTCGGTACCAAGAAATTCTTTCGATTGACTGAGCCTTTAACGTATTCAACTGATACGCTTGAATGGTTTAAGAAAGTCATCCAAGAAAGACAGGGCAAAGACTATGTGCCAATAGGAGAGGGACAAGAGGTAATTCAAGGGATCTCCATAATCATAAGATATAGAAGACTGATGATGCATTTTTGGAGAATCTTCAATGGAGACCCTGAAAGAGATGTAATTTTTTTATCCCTTTCTACTTACTTCCTTATTGTATGAAACAATCCATTTCAATGAAAGTGAAAACTTTTGACAAAAGGATGTTTCCCTTAGCTTAGCCTATTGTACATAGATAGTTATTTGCTTATCGTTCATAGATAGCTATTTTCTATTTTTCATTACTTAGGGGAGATTGAGACCCCATAATTCCTATTTATAAAAGTAATGAAAAATGTACAAGTATGGAAGTCTGGAGTCGATAGAGCTGCGAAGATTCTAAGTGTTGAAGACAAACCAGAGATGCAATGAAAGGTCCAGAGGTGCTATGAAGACCTGAAGCACTTAACCTGATAATCATCTACTTATGAAGAAGTTCATCAGGTTGATGGACTAGCATTTCCGTAACCCATCTAGTTTACAGCAACTAAAGAATCATCAAGTATCATAGTTCAATCAGATCTACTCTGAGCAAGCAAATATGTGAAGAATCCTGATTGAAGACACTACCTAAAGACAGCTGGAGATGACTCAACGCCAGCTTGAATTCTATGACACTAGGTAGTTAGAGATAAATCCTATCTTTCTAGATAGATATCTTCTCCATGTTTATCTCATAGATATCTCATACTAGATTGTTATCTTGTAGACTAGATTGCTAGTAAAAATAGCAATCATATGCCTTGTAATTTAAAGTAATCTTTCTTGTTATCATCATTATAATGAAATTACTTGAAAGCTTCATACTTTCTTGAATATCATTAAAGTTGTTCTTCACTTTCTTCATTGACACGACAAATTTGGGTTTTTAAACATAAATCTTCATGTTACATTGAGATATCTAGGATCAACAAACACCTTTGTCTTTAGAGAAGGTGTTATGGTCCTTTGCAGACATCTCTTTCTCTTTCTCCCCCTGAGATGAAGATTCCCTCAGAGAGACTCCTTTTTTAGCGACAACTGGTTTGGTATGGTATTGAATGGTGAAGTCGGCATCACTGTTGTTTTCATCATCATCTTCATCACCAAGATCTTTTCCAGCATCAGAAAAGGAAAGAGGATCATTAGCTTCATCATCATCATCATCATCTTCATCATCCTTATCATCAGCATTATCTACAGAAGTGATAGGAAGGTCTTCGTCTTGAGCATCATTGTCCTCAAATTCAGTAATAGCTTCCACTTCACGAGATGTGATGGCATCTACAACTTCAGCAGCAGCTTCATTTGCTTCAGATATTTCATCTTGAGCATCAGCATCATCTGGTGTTGTAGGGACAGCATCAACAGCTTGAGGTAAGTCTTTCTCCCCCTATTTATCATCAGCAAGACGAGAGGTGAGATCATCAAGACTATTGGAAATTACGTTCATTCGTTGCTTAAGAACAGCCATTGACTAAGCCTGTAGAAGATCAAGCTCAAGTACTTGATCCAAATATAGGCGATTAACGACGGTGAAGGAGGGTGCCGGAACCTGTGATGGATGTTGAAGAAGATCGAGTATCTACTGCATCAGCTCACCATACCTGGTAAGCTGAGCATGTGCTTCATCGGCCTTGCTATTGAGAGCATAGATGGCCTCAGCATTGGTGTGGATATCATCTTGCACCGCATACAGCAATTCCTTTACATCATTGACTTCAGCTTTGAAAGCTGAGAGATCAAAAGAAAGGTTATCCCGGAGAGGCATGTCTTTATGGACTTGATCCATTTTGATTAAGATAGTCTCTACAGCTGGGAGAATTAGCTTGACATCATCAGCCATGTTGTATTCATCTTCCATGGTTGTCGGTTCTTCATCGATAGGACCTAAAAAAAGAAGTTTGAGCAAAGGATAGCTCGGGGTTAGAAGAAATGAACGGGTAGGAAGATGGTATAGTACCTGAAGGGTCACTAGCACCATGTGAAGGATTGATGTTGGTTCCCTCTTGGTTGCCTTCGATAGGATAGGCTTCTATTGACTGAGGTATCTTGAGAGGAGCGACCTCAGGTCCTGTGGTGATTGCTTTATCACCAGTGAGGACAATCATTGATGAATCACCAGCATGTGTCGAGAACAAAGATAGAGGAGAAGAGAAGATGGCTGAGAATGGTGGAAGTAGGTATTCAGCAGTGGCTATGCTGATATTCACACCTTCAGTTATTTGGGTCACTGAGGTAGTTGGGAGAAGAGCCACGTGCACGACAGTGACTGAAAAAATCACTGAAGAACTAGGAGGGTATTAACCAAAGTTTCCTCAGGGATAAGGCTTGTTTCAATGACTGAAACCTGTTGAGAGGTAACAGCCAAGGATGTGGATAGCCTCTTTTCGGATTTCTTTGACCTCGATGGAGAACCAAGAGTGGTTTGAGAGGAGGATCTTTTAGACGAGAGGGTTGTAGTGGTTGGGATAGACTGAGGGGGGATTTTCTTAGTCATAACCATCTGAGTAAGAGAAGAAAGATATGCAGACACAATTGAAGAAGATGAAAAAGTGCTACAAAGAGTACTTCGTACAATATCCATAAGAGAGGAGAGAGGAACATATGCAGGTTTAGACTTGTGGTCCAAGATTCTAGACCTAAGCCTGCAAATAGCCAAGTTTCCTTCTGTGGGGTATTTGTTGCTAAAGATATTAGCAAACACCATACACAGGAATCTGGTGTAAGGCACCACCTTTTCCCTTTGGCGCTTATTCAGCTTCAGCACCAGGTCTTCAAGGATAATGCCAACAAAGTTGATTGGTCTTTGGCAAATGATAGAAATTCCAATGTTCAATGCAACTCTGGAAGCTTGGTCTTGTTCGCCAGTTTTGCCTCCCATACACTAAATGAAATGGTGGATGCGGCGTTGTGTTATTGTTGGATTGTTTGTTGAAGCATTTGGAGGCGGGTGGTTTTGTCTATGGCTTGGGCTTCAAAGGTGGCAAGGGATTGTCGAAGGGGTGTGAGATCGATGGATGGGGTGGATTTGGAAATCCTTGCTAAGATGAGTTTAAGGTCTTCCAAGGATCGTTGAGTCGAGTCGCAAAGGCCTGGAACTCTGCATTTGTGATAAGATCAGCTATAGGGGTAACCCCTACAACAACAGATGCTACAGGTTGTGCCTCAACTCCATAAGCACCCTCATTGCCTTGTGAGAATGTGGGCAATGAAGGACTTCCATCGAGTCCTTGATAGCCCTCTAATGAGGAGCTATCTTCTGATGTTGCTACATCTTCCTCTTCTTCTTCAGTTTCAGAGGCTGAGTAAAAGAAGTAGGTGCGTGTCCCCTTCGCTAGATCAAGTATTGAAGGGGATTTTGCTCGAATGGGAGATCGCTCTAAACGATCTTGGGGAGGTTCAATGTCAGAAGAAACACATGCTTCTAGGTATGTGGAGGGTTGTGGCAAGCCATGAGGCGATATGGCTCTTATTTCTTCATCGCCTCCCTGTTGAGAGAGAGGCAACGAATGATGTGGTTCGTCGGCAATATCATCTCCAGAGGCCTGAAGAGTGGCCTCTGGATGGATGGCTTGGGTGAGGATTGGATTGGGCCGTTCTTGTTCAATACCCCTTTGGCTTTGATCTCCAGGGGTAGTAGATGTGGTTGCCCTTTGGGAGGTGGGTGCGGGAGTTGTGTTTATAGTGCCGGGAAATGCATGAGGAGTGTCATCATCATCATCTTCATGAAGGACCAGAGGAGCTCTGGTTGAGTGCAAGGGATGATTCATCATTTATGAAGCATGTTTGTGATCTAGAGGCTCTGGATAGACAAACCTGAGACTTTGGGTGGGAAAATGCATGTTTTGTGCAATATGGGTGCTTGATGATGAATGCAAATCTCCCCCTCAAATGATGCATAGATTTGTGTAAAAACTCCCCCTATAATTAATAAGGGGGGTGAATTTGATGACCAGAGGCTCTAGTTGTGAATGATGATGCAAACTTATATGGAAAATGGTTAAGTTTAAGTAAACGGATATAAAAAGGATGGGCCTTTGGGACCAGAGGGCTCTAGTTCCAAAGACTTTGAATCCAAAAGCTTTGGTCTTAAGAACCAGAGGCTCTAGTTGAGAAGGCGATGAAACAATGATGAATGGATGTGATTATTAAATGCTTTGTAAAGTCTAATTTGGACCAGAGGGCTCTGGTTCCAAAAGGACATGGAAACCAGAAGCTCTGGCCTTTGGAACCAGAGGCTCTGGTTTATGTAATGAAGTAATACGACTAAGTTAAATGTATGAAAGGATGAGGGAGACCAATTTTGGGACCAAAGAGGCTCTGGTCTCAAAGGATTGGAATCTAGAGGCTCTTGTCTATATAACCAGAGGCTCTAGCTGTGAAGGTGGTACTTAATGAAAAATCACAAAGCATTTGCTTTGGAGTAGAGGGGCTCTGGTTCCAAAGTCGATGAAAACTTTTGGCAATATTTTAAACAAGTATTTCTAATTTGCCAGAGGCTCTTGTTGAGAGTACTTGGGGATTAAGGCCATAATTATATATCACTTGTAGGCATAACCATGAGATATTGAGAATCTCTGGTTTTAAACTATGGATTGCTTCTAAGTGGTCAGATTCAGCATACTCATCTTGCTGACAAGAAATAAAAATCTTTTCTCATCAAGAGGTTTTGTGAAAATGTCAGCAAGTTGAATCTCTGTAGGAATAAAGTACATCTCTATTATACCTTTTTCGACATTGTCTTTCAGAAAGTGGTACCTTACATTGATGTGTTTGGTCTTGGAATGTTGCATTGGATTTGTAGAGATGGCTATGGCACTCTTGGAATCACAGAGGATGGGAATCTTTTCATATTCAAAGCCATAGTCCTTAAGCTGAGTCTTCATCCAGATGACTTGTGAACAACAACTAGCAGCAGCAACATATTCTGCTTCTGCTGTAGAGGTTGAAACACAATTCTGTTTTCTGGATGTCCAACTTACCAGCTTGTCCCCCAAGAGTTAACAACTTCCAAACGTGCTCTTTCTATCAACCTTGCAACCTGCATGATCTGCATCTGTGAAGGCTATTAGATCAAAGACAAAGTTCTTAGGATACCAGAGACCCAATGAAGGCGTTCCCTTGAGGTATCAAAAGATCCTCTTGACCGCAGAGATATGAGATTCTTTAGGGTTAGCTTGATACCTTGCACAAAGACATGTAGCAAACATAATATCTGGTCTACTAGCAGTTAGATACAGGAGTGATCTAATCATGCCTCTGTAGGTTGTTACATCCACAGATTTTCCTGATGGATCAGCAAACAACTTAGCCCTTGTAGCCATTGGAGTTCTCATTGATGATAAATTTGAGAAAGAGTATTTCTTCAGAAGGTCAGTCACATACTTGGACTGAATGATGAAAGTCCCTTCTGGAGTTTGTTTTATTTGAAGACCAAGGAAGAAACTAAGTTCTCCCATCATACTCATCTCAAATTTTCTTTTCATCAACTTTGAGAATTTTTTGCAAAATTTTGCATTGGTAGAACCAAATATGATATCGTCCACATATATTTGCACAAGTAGAATGTTACCTTTGTGCTTCTTGAGAAAGAGGGTTGTATCGATTGAACCTTTTTTGAATAAGGTGAAGAGAGTTTCATACCCGGACCTGGGTGCTTGTTTCAGCCTATAGAGGGCTTTGTCCAGAAAGTAGACGTACTCTGGATGTTTTGGATCTTCAAACCCAGGGGGCTGCTGTACGTATACTTCTTCTTGAAGCTTCCCATTTAGGAAGGCAGACTTGACATCCATCTAATATACCTTGAAGCCTTTGTGTGCTACATAGGCTAGGAATATCCTGATAGCTTCAAGTCTTGCAACGGGAGCAAAAGTTTCATCGTAGTCAATCCCTTCTTTCTGGCAGTAGCCCTTGGCAACAAGCCTGGCCTTGTTCCTTATGACTATTCCATCTTCGTTCTTCTTATTTCTGAAGACCCATTTGGTTCCTATGGTCGTCTTCCCTTTGGGTAGAGGCATGAGGGACCACACTATGTTTCTCTCAAACTGGAGTAGTTCTTCTTGCATTACGTCTATCTAGTTTCGGTCTTGTAGGGCTTCAGAACTCTTCTTTGGTTCGATCATGCTCAAAAAGTTGGCGAAGAGGCATTCATTGGCTGTTGCGGATCTCGTCTTGACACCAGATGTTGGATCTTCAATGATTTGGTGTTGTGGATGGTCTTTCTTGTCCACTTGGTGCAAGATTGGGGTTCTGGAGCAATAGGATGCAGTTCTTCATCAATCGATGGAACTACTTGCTCCCCCTCGAAGAGTTCATCTCCAGATTTATCTTCTGGCTCTGGTTTTGGTTCTAATGACACAGAAGAAGTAGAAGGTGAAGTAACATGAGTTTCAGAAAGAGATGTACCTTCAGTGTTGGAGACTTCATGTTCTTCATCGGCTCTGGAAATGGGTTTAGCAGTAGGTGCATGTC